TCCCCTGGCCACATCCAGCCTGCCGTAGCCTGACCACTGCTGTGATGCAGAGCTGCTGCTCAGCACTCTCTGCATGAGAATGGAGGGACACACAGCAGCTTGTCCCAGGCCACACAGGAAGCTTTTTGGCAACACAGTGAGCTGAACCTGTTTCCCAAGTCCCAGAGCAGCAACCTCACTATTGAACCACCTTTCTTCTACATAAAATACCTGAAACTATTCAGATTTTAAGGCAAAGGCATATGTTCAAACCTGAAAACTGTTTAAACTGTTGAATGCCACAAATGTCTACCAGACGTGCAACTCCCTACTTGTGCAGATAACATCTGTTAAGAGTAAGTGGCTCATACAGTTCTGCACCAGAAAGCTTAATAAGTTCCTTCTCCAAGATTAAAGAAACACCTACACATTCTAGATGCTTCTGCAAGTCCCTGGAGGGAGAAAATGCTGCTTAGTGCTGAGACAATGAACCAGCTTCCTTCCTCAACAGCAACAAAACCCTGCTGCTTTACCTAGCACTGAGAGGAAAGCGTTATTTATAGAACTGAGCCCTATACCAACACGTACCTAAATACTTCTCACAGTTGGGGTACAGCATGCATCAAGATGACCTTAGACCTATATATTTTCAAAGTCCTAATTTGAAAGATCAGTGTAAGAGCAGAAAAATAATTTGAAGCAGCTCAGCCATATCCCCCCATTCCCATTCATTTCAGTGATTCTCTGCATTGAAGTATAACTTCAAAACCTGAACCACTCTTGTCACTCTTCAGCAGGTGACTTTTTTAAAGCAGTTACATTATTTTCATACATCAAATAAACTCACTAGGATTATGATATTTAGGTTTCTTATATAATTTATATATCATTGACAGCAATGCTTCTAGCCATTTGCATTTAGTCCCATTGCATTTAGTTTCAAAACCAAAAGAATATGTGTACTGACTTTTGTGTTTCTTTATATAATTTCCTCATGAATTCTTAAGCACTTGTTCCATGCTGTAAAAATGTTTTATGCTAAAGCCAGTTACCTAAATTCCCATTTTGGCACTAAAATAACTTACTATTCTGTATTTTCATTCAATTATACAACTGTACAAAGGTTCACTTGGCTGCAAACCCCAGTAAGTATTTTCTAAGACTGTTCCTATTGTTCATAATTATCAGTGAAAAAAAAACCAAACCTGCCAAAACCCATCTTGCAAGACAGATACATGCTCTCATATCACAAGCTCTTGTTTGTCTAAACACTGATGCAGAGCTGGATACATCCAAAAGCACAGCAGAGCATGCAAGGAAAATTCTCATTGGAATATGTACTCCCCAACACTGCTGGTTTGCTGCACTTTGGAGGAACTGCATTTACTATGATAACTGTCAGCTTAAATAACCAGGAACAGTCAGTAATAAAGACATCGATGGAATTCTAAATCTACTAAAATAGATTATGAATTTTGCAGGCCTGGCAGTTTGGGCTACATCCAACACTGCACTGGAGACTGTGTTACAAGCAGAGACCTGTTCTCATTTCAGTAATGTCCTCAAGTTCTTTCTAATCTGTTACAGTCAATAAAAACTGACTTGTGCACTTCCTCTCTTCTACACCAACTCTCTGACATGCCGTCAGCCTTTATTTGAGCTGAGATAACTCTGCTGCCTTCTGGAACAAGCCCCAGCTACCTGGAAAAAAATGGCTTTTCCTGCATTCAGGTTTCTTCCTCATGCATATGCCTTCTGTATTCCTCATGTGTGTGTCTGTCTTCTGTCACTCAGCTACTACTCCTGAGGAAAAATAAATACAGGAAGAAAGAAGGAGGAGGAGAGAAAGCATGAAGATGCTATTTTCTTTATAAAATGATTCTTCTTTGCTTCTTCTCTAATTTGTATGAAAGCATCTGCTCCCCTGAAAGATCTCAGCACTTACACTACACCTGCCAGTGACCCATTGTGCATCTTCTGCTTTAATTTCACCCTTAAAATGCAGAGCTATGCAATGGAACATGAGGCCAAATGCAGTTTTAAAGCAGAGAAATAGCTCAAGAAAATAGATGCCTTTAGGATTCATGAACTTGGAATTAAATCTTGTACACTCACAAAAATCAAATCACAACGTTTGATAAGTGCAGAGAGAACTCAGTGAGTCACACAAAGGTTTGTGTTTTATGCAAAGCTGACTCCAGCAGTGTAGCACTCAGTGATGCCCACATATTATTTCTTGAATTATCACTTTCTGCATCAGTGCTTATCTATCCCTGAATTAAAAGACTCTCCTCCAAATATCAGCCAGACCCAGCATCTCTCCCTACCACAAAGAAATTTCAGCCCACTTTTAACACTTCCCCATGTGACAAAGGGGAAAACTGCACTTCTACACTTGTGTGCTTCACAAACCTGACAGCTTCATGCATTGTAACTGCTGTGACTCTCTCAACTAAAAATAACATGTAGGAGGAAACAAGACTGAATGGACCTAAAATGCAAGTTCACTGTTCCATAAGGCAGAGTAACTCATGTAACCTAACATAACTCAGAGTAACCCTAACCCTAATTCAGTTACCACACACTCTTCCAGCTCAGTTAGGATTGTGTCTGTGCTGCATCAAAATGAATGCAGCTCAAACACAAAAAAAACCCAAACCAAAACACAAAACCCAAAAAATCCTGTTGATTTGGTTTCAATGGTGAGAAGCCACTCCTCACACGTAGTAGGCCCCAAAATGGTAGGAGCAAACACAGCTCTGTCCTGCAGGGTCATGTATGGGACTGGGTAAGAAGAGAAAATTTATCTTTATAGACATTACAACCGCTGTCAGGAAAGCAAGGAGTTTGTCAGAAGGCATCAAAGAAGCTGATGCTGTTCAGCTTGCTTTGTGCCTAGTAGTCTCTTTAGAAGTACTCTGGGAAGAAGGTGAAGCATGGAGAGATGGAGGTCTTAAGAATATAAAAAAAAAATTTAAAAGATTCTACCTCTCAGCTTTACTCAGGTAACAGCACTCTGCTGATGTGCAATTCAGTTGCTCAGTGTAACAAATAACTCGAAGACTGTTCCTTCTGCTTGATTATAAACACAATACATTGCTTAGTGAAATTAAGTCATTTTTCTTACAGAAGGCCTCAAAGCAGCAGCCCACCAAAGAGAAAACTGCTATCCTCTTGATGTTACTTTGCAAACATTTGATGCAACAACACAATGCTTTTTATGAAGGTCAAGCATTAGTTCCTCCCAAGGGAGCTGCACAACACATACAGAATTTAAGTCCACACAACACCTACAGAATTTAAGTCCATGTTAAGTCCATCAGCATGTCAAATGCCTATGTGGAATTTTACAGGTGATAAAAACCGCGCATAAAACAACAGTGGTTACAGTTTAACATTCATTTATAGCCAAGTTACCCATTTAAAGACACTTTAGCTCAGTAAATAACCAGCCCCGGTTACAGCTAACCCAGAGCAGGGCTCGGAGGGTGCACATCCCTCTCCAAAGCTGAAAACCAGCCCGGCGCTGCTCGCTGCCTTGGGACGGGGACCCCAAAGGCAGCGAGCCCAGGAGGCGGCCCGGGGAGCGCTGAGGCACCCCCGCAGCAGCGGGCTCTGCCCGGTACACCGATCCAGCCCGGTAC